TTTTCTGATGAAGGGTCTAGGCCCGAAACGTCAGCCTTCCTGCTCCTCTGATGCTGCTTGGCCTGCTGTGTTCATCCAGCTCTACACCTATCTAGAGTAGGCTCAGGTTCACAGTCTGGTGAGCCCAGCACTTGTAGCTAGAGCAAGAACACATAGTCAAAGTCTTTGACAGGAAAGAATGCTGGGTAACAAGACTCTGCTAGAGCTAGTATAGATAATGAGCCTCCAGATGAAATAAGCTGATGGAGATGTAGAGACAAGTAGAGGAAAGTCTGGCAGAAGTATAAACAATCATGCATGGACAGGGGTGAAGGGCAAAGGGGACAGTTCTGACTGATGGTATGCCTCAAGTATGCATTTTCAAGGTTGCCTATATGAAAGAGGTGGTTGTCACCATGGACAGCCAGCAGCAGTGAGCAATCAAAGTATGCCAGCTTTGTGTAGAGTCCTTTACTCCATCATTTGACCCAGTTCAGAGGGGACTGAGGCACTGTGACCTCCCTCCAGGTGACTCCATCCCCTCAACTGGGGAGGGTGGTGCCATCGCACACTGATGAACAGGAGAAGAAACAGAGGGTCACCAAGGGAGTGCCATCCCAGGACACCCCAGTGGTGCTCTACTGCACTAACCCCCCTCTTCAGGAAGCCAAATGTCTCCACCAGGTCAAGCTGATTAAGTTTCACCTGTTATGTGTTCAGGAGAGCCTTAGCAGGCCAGAAGCCTCAAGCCCTGGACTTTAGAGAACACACACCAAAGTCATCTGAGACAAGGCCTAAAGTAATATGTCTTACAGCTTTCTCTGCAGAAACTGTTTCTCCCTTTCCTACCTATGTTGTTGGTATCCACGTACACCACACAACAAATCCACGTTTCTATCTAGGATTTAATTACACAATACTGAATGGCCTGAACAGAGTGGATGTTGGGAAGATGTTTCCATTGGCAGGAGAGACTAGTATCCAAGCGCACAGCCTTAGAGTAAAGGGAAGATCTATGAAAATGGAGATAAGGAGAAACTTCTTCAGCCAGAGAGTGGTGAATCTATGGAATTCACTGCCACAGAAGGCTGTGGAGGCCAGGTCATTAAGCACATTTAAGATGGAGATAGATAGCTTCTTGATTGTCAAGGGGATCAAGGGTTATGGGGAGAAAGCGGGAGAATGGGGTTAAGAAACTTATCAGCCATGACCGAATGGTGGAGAAGACTCGATGGGCTGAATGGCCTAATTTCTGCTCCTATGTCTTATGGTCTTATGGAATGAGGAGGTGTCTTTCATGCTAACACTGGAATGACAACATTACTATTGGGTCTTGCACTTTGGCTGCAGGAAACAATATCAATTCCTCTAACTAAGTGGTCCCTTACCACAACTACCTTCCTCTTCTCCTGCTTCAATGGCTCCACGGACCAAGGTGCCATGATCATTTTGTTACCGAGGAAATGTAAATTATTGATTTGGGACGACAATTTTTAAACTACAGATCTTTATTTTAGCCACTTTTAGCAAGTTACATTCTGCTTCAACCTCACACCATGGCTGAAAATAATACGCTTACATAAAATACTTCTCCACTTTCTCATTTAGGAAAGTAAAATGTAACCAAGTGTGATCAACTTCGCTTCAGCACATAGTTTCAACTTATATTGCACAACTGTACAAAAAGACTAAATACTAAAGAACACATAAAGCTAACTCCCTCCAGATACTTCATTTAAAAAAAAAACAATCTGCTTAATATCGTGCAGCTGGAGCAGAACTCCTCTCTCCCTGACCAGCCTGTCCCACGTCACAGGCCAACTGCCTGAACAGTTTGATTTCTATGAGGTACAATGGTATTTGGTGCTTGCATCTGTTTTTATTCTCAGAATCTCTCTATACAATACTAGCTTTTAGTCAAAACTGTCAACCTATCATCCCAGTGTGGAGTATTCCAGTGTAACATAACCCCGACTGAATTTAAATGAATAATGTGGCTGCAGTTGGAATTAGAGTGAACAGTTGTTCAAATGTCGAGTTATCATGCCGTGTTGCCAAGATTTCAGACGTCCAATCAGAAGCACAACAGATACCTGAAAAATTCACATCCTGCAAATGCAGAGCTGAATCTTAATTTTCTTTGGCTAAACGCCAGTTGTGTGGAGTTTTTTTTTTGGAGGGATTTTCACTGTAGAGCCTACCAAATTTTCTCACTGCATCTTCCCAAACTCACTCCATTAATTATCTAGCCCACCCCAATGCACCCTTTATATTAACTTCAAACTCCTTTTAAATCCCCAGAACAACACACCACTGCTGGGATATCCCAGGATCCCTAGCACCAATGCCAATGTGCCAAAGACCATTGTGCACCTGGACCAGCACTGTCAGTCTGGAACTGCCCTGAATGGTTCCTGATGTTTATCCAGACATGGCAGATAGGGGGAAATCGTGCCCTGCTTTGCAGGCAAGGACCTAATGGTCCTATTGGATGGGCAGCACACATGTGGGACCTCAAGGCCAGAAGAGGAAGCCACTCGGATCAGTGCAGAGTCAGCCTCTGGAGGAATGCCCAGCATTTTAGGAAAAATGTCAATGACCTTCTCCTCTCCACCAGTGTTGATACCACATTGTTCTCTCCAATACATCACACTCACTTTATCTCTGCTGCTGTAGCCCATTGCCCATTTCGGCTCATGTTCTAACACACTCAGCATTGTTTGTAACAACTTGCTTCACTTGAATTCACCCATCCGAACTCCAACCATCACTAACTCTGCATGCCCTCTGTACTGCCTACTCACTCAGTCAGGACGTACGTACCAGCTGTACCACCCACTTTAACTTTCCTTCGTACCTGCCTCCCCTCTTATTACAGGAGAAGAAACATTCCACAATGGGACAGAAAGAATCTAGGATAATAGTGGACTTCCTGATATTCAGCTCATCATCCCTAATGAGGAGAGGATCCTAACTCTGACCACCCAATAGCTGACTGACTGTGTCCAAGCTCCTGAACTGGTATCAGAAGCCACTCCTGACATCTTTCACCCCTACCCCTGAGAGAAGGCTTACTCTCCCCTGACTGAGGTCTGCTAACAGCCATGACAAGCTTCCCAATTTTGTGTTTGTGCTAAATGGCATGGCAGTACTGGGAAACAAAACCAGAAATTGCTGACGAAACTCAATGAGTCTGGCAGTTTCTGTGGGGAGAAGACAATGTTATGAGTCTGGTCACTCTTCAGCCAAACTGTTAGCAGCTTGGAAATCGTGATGTTTGTGCTGAAGCCAAAATTATGGAGGGAGGGGGATTGTGGAGGTGGTTGATGGAGGGGAGAGGTGAGCGAATGTGGAGACAGAGCCCAGGGAGAGAGATTTGAAAGAGTTGGGTAAACGAGGAGATTGTGGATAACAGGCCAGCACAGAAGAAAAGCTGAATAAGTGATGATAAGAGTTAACAGTAGGAGAAAATGGATGAGCTGCACTGAAAGCAATGCACAATGCATAAAGTAATAGTAGGCCTAGGAAAATGTGAGGATGGGTTGTTTGTACTAAAGTGAG